TTTGTTAAACCACCAATGTATATTTTCAGCCTTCGGGCTGCAGAACTTTTTCAATAAACCGTTAATTATTATTATTATTATTATTATTATTATTATTATTATTATTATAGTCTCGATTTTCGCGGATTTGGTTTACGCAATTGGTCATTTACGCGGCACCATGCCAGACCGACAATTTTTATTTACAAGGTTCATTCCATCATTTACGCGGGAAGAGGCGCGGGCAGGGTGCGCACAAGGTCGCCCAGTCAACAAAACGTTACCGAGTTCTTAACCCGCCACAGCCGGCCCAAGTCAGTGTCAGTGATAGTGAGGATATGGACTTTGAGGGATTTGACAAAGAGGCCCTGCAAGCCTCTGTGGTGGATAGTGATACAATTGATACAAGTGATACAGGTGAGGGCCAATAATCTGCCCTCTGCCTCGGAACTAACCCCCCATCCCCGTGTGCCCAGCCATCTTTTTTACTAACGTAAGTGTTAAAAAACCTAATATTATTGATATTTCTCTTAAATATTAATTGTGTGCATACCATCATAAAATTAAGATGTTATTTTTACTACAACGTACATATTATGTCAGAAAAAGTGTAGTTTGGGGGTCGGCCCAGTCTCTACAGTATTTCAATTAATCCCATATGTTCTGTTATTTCGTTTATGCATTTCTCGTTTTACGCGGACCTCCAAGAGTTTAATTGACCGCGTAAATGAAGACTATACTGTATGATGCGCCAGATTGACTCACGCAAAATAGGAAAGATTCGCTTTAAATTAAAACAGTGTCCTTAATTGTGGTTGTCGCTATAAATCAATAATCTTAAATTGAATCGCTTTAAATCGACGTTCTACTGTTTATCTACTGCTGGAGTTTTATGTTCCTACACATCATAGGGTTCCCCTCCTGGGGGACAGACACATGCCCTACAGCCCTGACCCCCTGGGGACACATACTATCATGCCTTACAGCCCTGACCCCCTGGGGGACACATAATATCATGCCCTACAGCCCTGACCTCTTGGGGGACACATACAATCATGGCTTCCAGCCCTGACCTCCTGGGGGGGACACACAAATGCCCTACAAACCTGACCCCCTGAGGGACACACACACATGCCTTACAGCCCTGACCTCCTGGGGGACACAAACACATGCCCTACAGCCCTGACCTCCTGAGGGACACAAACACATGCCCTACAGCCCTGACCTCCTGAGGGACACACACACATGCCTTACAGCCCTGATCTCTTGGGGGACACAACCAATCATGCCTTACAGCCCTGACCTCCTGGAGGATACACACATGCCCTACTAAGTTGCCTATGCAACTATGAAATATGTCATGGGTTATAGAATAAATTGTGATCATCAGAGTGTGTAAAATAATTATAGAAACTTAATTATATTGAAAAATGCTTGGCCCATCCCCTGTCGGAGGGTGGATCAAGTGGATAGGGTGAAGGGACATAATTGTTTCTTAAAGTGGAGCTGTATGACATCATTGATCTTTGGTCAATGAAATACTAAATAATCGAAGAATTGACTGCAAAACAAGCAATACTCAGCTCATGAGAAATAGAGTATATGATGTAATGCATGAACACGTAGAGTGCAGCCACTATACTCTGTATACTGCCTCATCGTCCTCGAGCAGCAGACCCATTGACCCAAGAGGGTCATTTATTGTAAAAAATTTCTCTCGTCATTGTCATACCACCTCGCCCCCCAACAGGTCTATGAGGGTCGCCTAAAATGACGGGAAAATTAAAAAATACGGATATATCACATCCCTGATATATCCCTTTATTTTCTTTTTACGGGGAATAGTTGACCCGGCCAGGGGTCAACGACCCACAATGGGGCCTAGGGGGCGAAAAAATAAGAATAGAAAGAAATTAAAAATAGAAAAGGAAAAGGTTATATTAATCTACACCACGAACATGCCAGAAACTACGAGTTGAACAAGACCAATAATGCAGCTCACAGCTTGACCTGGTAAGGAGACGCTGATATCACTGTCATTGCACCCTCCCCTCCAGTTCCACCCTTCCCCTCCCACGATCAGACGCTAACTCCCGTGGATGTAAGAAATGTTTATTCTCTTTATGTTTTTGACATTATGATAATCTTTTATATTTTTTCTTTTACACATTCTGTATGAATGATTGTGTGTGCATGTTGTTGAGTGAAAAAAAAAGAATAAAATTATGTACAGTCTATCTACTCGAACATACAAGTTGAAAAATAACATTAACACAGCTTAGCCAGGTAGGGGGAGAGCTAGAGGCATGTAGCTACAGGGACAGTCTAACTTGGTGACCTGCCAAATCCACATACACTCGTTCACTTCATACACTGCTCTTCATTTTTCTCATTTTATTGCCACATGCCATCTTTACAGAGATGTACACTCACCACAAAAAGTTCTCAAATGCTCTAAGTGTCATACATCATGACAAAACGAATGAGAAATTTGAACATTGCTCTCTGAGGAAGTTTTATTGCAATTTAAATTACTGTACTTAAATTTCGCCTGTAAATACAATAGACGAGCAACATACAGTTTAACGGAATACTGAGTCACTTCGCAACCGGGTGTACCAACTATTCTGAGATTACACGTCATAATGCTCATTCTGAAATTTGTCGTGCCCAGCTGTTCGAGAACTTTTTGTGGCAAGTGTACCGTAAAATTTATATTACTGTACTATTTATATTAAGCTATTTTGCATGTATCTGACTCAAATTTAATCAGATGTACAATACAGGTATTGTTTAGTGAAGAAACAGTCAACTTAGTTAGGCTTTGACGAATGTTATCTGCAAGCATGGAACCTAACCCCCTAATTCTCAAAAGCCTTTAGTCTTGCCAACTGTGGATTTGCCAACCAAAGGTTTTTTCAGGAACCTAACCCCTACTTTTGGCGAGGAACTAGTGTAATTTGCTTGATCAATGGTGATGTTTTAAGACACCTCCCTATTTACAATAAAAAAAATTCTCATGAACAATGGTCATCGTCCGGCCCAAATTGCTAACGCACCTGCAAGCATTCTGATAAAGTAAACACATTAGGCTAGCCGAGAACTTGTTTGAAGAGACTTCAGCTTAATACCCTACTAACTACATCTGTTGCTTGTGAGCATTTATTCAATAATGCTGGGCTTATATTTAGGCCCGATTGGACTGTCATAATTTTGAGAATCAGTTGATTAATGTCAATAGAAAGATTTGCAAATAAACTTGTGTAATGCTGTGTATCTTTTATATTTGTCTTTAGTAAACTTGTTTTTTATAATTTACTGTGGGTCAATTTTAATATTTGAGATGATTAATAATTTTGTTGTTACTTTATACTTTAGGTACTTAAGTACTTTGTGAATAAGATACCTTTTAGCTTTCACTAGAGTACAGTGGTTCCTCGGTTAACGAGCGCCTTGGTTAACGAGATTTCGGTTAACGATTTACCTTCCATAAGATTCTTAACTTCGGTTAACGAGCAATCCCTCGATTAACAAGTTTTTTACGAGCCGACTTCAACACGTTTTCGCTTACATTTGGCGGTCCACCAGCTGTAGTATTTGTCCGCCAATACAGTAATCGGTTTTAGGGCTTAAATTCCTTACTATTTTAGTAACTATCAAGAAGTTTATACTATTCAATAATTTTAAAAGTTTAATATTAACTTTTTTAGTCATTTTAACAATTATTGAACATAATTGAAGGTAAAGAAACTAGTTTCTGACGTGCCATCCAGCCTGTTAACACACCAGATAGGCCTTAGTCTCTCTCTGTTTTCAGTGGAGGTAACATCTTGCTTGAGACTCTCTTCAACTGAATGCTTTTTTTCTGTGTTTCCAAGCAAATTATTGGTCATTTTGAAATATATTTTACATATTGACAATATATAATACAGTGCAGTGTTGATTTAAAGAAAATAATCTAGAAATACACCAAGAGAACTAAAATTTTATGGGTGAAATGGCGCCATGGGGTGACTTCTCTTCCACCCCAATGCCTTCTCTTCTTCCTTCTCCTCCACCCCCATTCTAATTCCCATCATCATCATCATCATCCAGGAGCCTTCTACATACACACCTCAAAGTAAGTGTACTTTTCTACCTTTTTTGTTGAATTTAGGCAATTTTCGGTGAGCTGGAACCAATTACCCAAAAACCCATTGAAACAATGGTTTCGGTTAACGAGTTTTGGGGTTAACGAGCAACCTGCTGGAACGGATTGTGCTCGTTAACAAAGGGACCACTGTACATTGAACTTTGGATACTTCTACTTGAGTAAATTCTGCCAATGTAACAATACTTTTACAAGAGGTACAAGAGGTCAAAGCCTCAGGTTAAAGGAGTCACAATTTCAGAAAAATTACACGACAAACTTTTTGGGAATGAGAGTTGAGAACTCTTGGAATAACCTGCCAGAGAACATTGTGATAGCACCAAGTATAAACTCATTTAAGACCAGACTTGACCAATACTGGTGCACGTTCAGATACATTCTGGGGTCAGTACATGCCCGGTACTTGTCAATAGTATATAACAGAGACAAGCTTGCTGTCCAAGTAGCTAACAGGCCAATCAGTGGCAAAGAGGATAAAGTAAACATTTATTTCTTCCTATCTCCCATCTCTACTTATGCTTACGACTTTTATTCTTATTTTTAGTCACAAATTTCTTTCTTCTATTACATGCTCTTCCAAACTTATTCATAAATATTTGCAACTTTTCTATCACCCACCAGAGCAGTGCCACCTACACACAGTAGCTAACTCCTACCCATGTTTGTTTATACTGTATATAGACTCAAGTTAGTTCAGAGATACAAACAAAGTAGCAGCAGCTTAACCATGGACTGAAGGGGCTTAGTGATACTATCATATTAACTATTATTTAATTCTGATTCCAATTCAGATTCTAAACTTAATATATGTGTTTAGTTAAATCCATTTGTCCACACAGTACTTTACTGAAATCCTCATGGTTTCCTTTACCTTTCACTGCAATAATTTCCTTGACGGTAAAAGGTACTCCCAGTAGAGGCTGAGAGTATTCCAGGTTTGCTCGCTCTTCCTCAGAGTAAAGATCCAATTTCTGATCCACTTCCCGAGCTTCCTGTAAAGCTTCATCATAATGTTCATCTACCACAGCATTAAGTATCGAGTTTACAGCCTTGGAGCGACTCACAAATGCTGAGACGATGGACTCTGAAGTCCTCTGCAGGATTTCAGAAAAAAAAATGAAACTATACACACACAAAAATAATAAATTGGTATAAATAACTTCATGACAAAAATAACTGAACAGGTTTGTGAAAAAAGTTTTCCTTGAAGAGATGAAATAATAAAAAAAATTACCCCTGACCTTTGACCTTCAGTAAAGAGGTCACCTAAATATATATAGCTAGACCCCGACTTACGACGGGGTTAGGGACCCAAATCCAGGTCGTAAGTCCGACATAGATAAAAAAATAAAATAAATAAAATAAAATTTTCTTTTTTTTTTTAATAAAAAATCTACAATGAAATACAGTACAGTGAAAGTAATAAATAATGAGGAATGGATACAGTGTGACTGAGCACTTACCTTTAATGTAGTCAGCTGAATGCACATGGGGCCCCCATAATTTTCTAATTATACATGGAGACTACATTAACTGGAAACGTTTCGGTATAGAAAATGCGTGTGTCATTTGAAAAAATTGCCAACCAAGGCGTCGTAAGTCCCTAATGTAAGTCAAGTGTATATATATATATATATATATATATATATATATATATATATATATATATATATATATATATATATATATATATATATATATATATATATATATATATATATATATATATATATATATATATATATATATATATATATATATATATATATATATATATATATATATATATACATATATACAGTATATGCTCTAAATATTGATCCAATAAACAAGTTATTCAGTTATTCAAGATTCGTTATCAATATCCTTTGGCTCATTTAAGAAATTGTTAGTCAAAGAACAGGTAGTATAAAGGTGGGCTGTCCACCTTTGTTACCACAAATAATGTGATTGGTAAAAGTACCTTCCCCAATTTTACTCTCAGTTATGCACAGAGCTGTGTGTGTACTTGATACAATACCAGTTAAAATAAAGCAAATATTTAATTAATGAACAGAATACACTATCACCACTCAACACAAGTGTTGATTATCAACCAACTAGAAAAAAGCCACTCTAAAATGCTAGACTGCCAATTGATTAAAAATGTCCAAAGGAGGGTCACCAGACTGGTGCTTGCTCTATGGAACCTCAGCTATCCAGAGAGATTAGAACACCTGCAACTGCCTAGCTTATACTACAGACGAACACGTAGTGACCTAATCAAAGTGTATAAACATATCAAAGGGCAATACTGTACTCGGTTGAATGTACATACTGTACATTTTTGGAACGAGAATTGTGAGCTCTTGGAACAATCTACCAGAGTGTTGCGACGGCACCGAGTGTGAGCTCTTTCAAGGCCAGACTTGACCAACAGAGGAGCAGGTTCCGATATATTCAGGAGCCAGTTCATGCCCAGTACTTGCCAACAGTGAGTAACAGAGACGTGACCGACCACCCAAGAGGCTAACGAGCCGATCAGTGGTATACAGGATAAAAGTAAAAGTACAAGTAATGCACAGTACTATAGGTTGACCTTGCAATTTCATGTCTCAGAATTTCATGAGAATTCCCCAATTACTGGTTTTTTTGGCTTGCTTGTGCTTGCCTGAGAAAAAAAATGAATTGTTTGAAATTAAAACACTCATGAAAATCCATGGATTTGCAGAAAAATGGATGTGTATTTGTGGGAAGTGAAAGTGTGTGGAGGCGGTGGGCTGTAACTGCGTTGTCATGCACCACCACTCTCTCCTCAAGTGATGTAATGGCGTACACTCAGCGCTGCCTGGCTGGACTGGGTCGCGTAGTCCAGAGGATGGTTTTAGTGTGAAAGGAGCTGTTTTTTGTACACAAAATATGTTATATTGCATTTTATGATATGCTATGTAGCAATTTTATTGTTTATCATAATATTTTTTGTTAATTTTTGATGTATGCAATTTGAAATTTATTCAAATTATGCTAAACTTGCACTCACTAAATCATTTAACTCTGAACCACATCGTCTATATAAAGTGGATTTAGTGTTAAACAAATGTCCAATAAATATGGCAGCTCATTTTGAAATTTTTGTTATTATTATTTCATTGTGGTGCCAGTTGGTTGACTGCTGGATGTCCGGTCTCTAGATAACCGGGATCCTACTGTACTGTACCTTTATACTCATATACGATCGGGTCCATTAAAAAAACTTGATTTTTAACCTCTTTGGTTTTCAGAATTTTGGATAAAGGATCCTCGACCTGTTCATAACTTCTGATGATTGCATTCAAATAACTTATTTTGTATTCTATAAGCAATTACTGTACTGTAAATTAAACTTTACCTTTCTCTGCCTGATCCACAGTGCCAAAGTGTGGGAAGACTGAAGAAGAGCAGAGTCAGTGATGGGTGGCATGGGTTTGGCTGGTGGAAACAATGCCCAAAACAGATAAAAAGCAGTGCGGATAACCATCGTATACAACCATCGCAACCACAGCAACAACATTCTGAAAAATTAGGGTTTGACTATAAGAATATGCACATCCAGGCTTATCAGGGTTTTCTTTTATAAACTCTGGGCCTTGGTGACAAATGGTAATCCAAAGAACACTCACTCTTCCATGACAATTGTGAATCAAAACAGGAGATTATAGGTGCAGATTGGGTCTAAGACATGAGAGTGCAGTAAATTATAACATCATGCAGCTCATTCGTTCTACTGGAGAGATCAAACCTCCACTGACACTGTTGTAAACCAAGTTTACTGTTACAACCCCCCTCTTTGTTTTTACCCAAATAATTTAACTAACAGCCACCACAAATAGAGGTAGCCATGACAGGAGAAGGACCTTAATGGACAGTGTAGGATTCCCTCCATTGTAAGTGATACTCTTGTCCAGGGCTATTCTGAAGCCCAATACTGTTCTTACTTCCACAGCATCAGACAGTAGACTGTTTTATAGATGTAATATACACCCTCTGCATGAAGAAGTATATTACTTCCTTATATTAGTTCTGAATGACAGTTTGGTGAGCTTGAAACTGGAACCTCTTGTGTTTATGCTGCTTCACATTTCAAAAATTTATCTGGATTTACACCTTCCATCCCTTTGAGGATTTTGAATGTCTCTATGAGGTCTGCTCTTTCATGTCTTGTCTGAAGAGTTGTCAGTCATGTAGTCCCCATTCTATTAGGATATTCGAGACAATTTAGATCAAGAATAATCACAATCACATTGTGTTGCACCTTTTCTAGTGATGTTAAGTCTTTTTGAATGTATGGTATCTATTGTACACAGCAGTCCAGACAGAGATGCACAAGAGGTTTATAAGTTGAAGGAACATTTTTTAATCTTTATATTTGCAAGAACATTACTATATAATTTCTAGAGTTTTGTTGGTTTTCTTCACTGTTGACCCCATTTGTGTTACTGGTTTCAGTGACTGGTCTGAAAGCATCAGGTGATGTAGGCATGTCAATTGTGACCAAACTGACTAATGCAGTCATGATGGAACGTACTATTCCAGACAACTGGAGTAAGAGGTGATTGTGAATATACTTACAAAGATAAAGGTGATGCATGTGAATGTAGGAAATACAGGGGCCTAAAGCTGATAGGTCAGGTTATGAAACTTGTAAAAGGGTGATAGAGAAATTGATGAGGAGAGAGTGCACATAAAAATGCAGTTTGTATTTATGCTAGGTATGGGGACTACAGAGACAATATTTAAAACCAGGCAGCTGCAAGAGAAATAGCTAGGAAAGAAAGAAAATTGTACTGCAGATAAGGCATCTGACAGGGTACCATGTGAAGCTGTGAAGTGGATATTGAGAAAGCTAGGAGTCGATGAGTGTCTTGTTTGAGTTGTTATTGCATTATATGATGGCCCAAAACCTCTGTGAGAGTAAATGGGGAAGAAAGTGAGGTACTTGAAGTAAAGTAGGAGTCCATCAGGGTCTGTCTTGAGTCCCTTTAGATGTACAGTATTTATCATGGTGTTGGAGCCAATATCCTAGGCCTGCCCTAGGAATTTATGTACTTGTATGCTGATAACTTAGTGCTGATAGCAGATAGTATTGAAGAGAAGGAGATAAATTTAAGAAAAGAAAGGATGGAATAGAGGCAAATGGCATGAGAGATTGTGGGAAAACAACACCTTGATTAGTGGTGTGAGAGGGATCCATGGTGGAAAGTGGAATGGCCATGTGCTGTGTGCAAAAGGTCTTAACAGCAGTTGATTAATGTGCAATAAGTGTGGAAGGTGGGTACACAAGAAGTGCAGTGGAGTAGATAGTAGACTATAGGATGCAGCTGACTTTAAGTGTTCTGTATGGTACAGTATTAATGTACCCAATAGCATGGCTGGAGCAACTGAACATTGGTGATACATCCTGACTACATCAAGAAAAAATTAGTTGTTACCTGGGTGACATGATCAGTGCTGGTGGGGATGCTGAAACTTGTTTAGGTGCAAGAGTCAGAAGTGGCTGAAAGAAGTTTAGGGAGCGGGTACCTTTTACTGATGGCAAGAGGACCTTCCCTCTGAGGAAAGGAAAAATGTATGCAGTTGGTGTGAAAAGTGTGATGTTGTATGGCAGTGAAACATGGGCAGTTTAAGAGGATGACCTTGAGTGAGCTGGATGAGAAATGTGACACTTAAAGCCAGAAGGCCCTGTTAAGAGCTAAGAGGAAACTGAGAAATGAGAGTATTGGTGATATCCTGCATAGGGGCAGATTGAGATGGGCATGCGGAGAGAATGGACGAGACCAATTGGGCCATGGGATGCATGAACTTAAATGTGGAGGGGCAGAGGTAGGGCAAAATGACAGGGAGAAGGTTGTAAGAAATGACATTAGAGTTAGGAACCCAACAAGATAGGCTGCGAGAGATCATGAAGAGCTGCCATCAGGTAACTGTGACTAACCCATGCAAGAGTGGAAAATAACTGTAAAATAATGATAATTTCAGGTAACAATGGTGTTCATCCCTAAACAACTGAGACAGTAAATTCATCAACAACAGTACAGGGTAGTTCATCATATGTGCCTCTTAACTCCTTTGACTCCCACAGCACTAAAGAAAGTCCATTGCATAACAAGACATAATGTGTTAGCTGAGAGACAGTTAATAAAATATATACCTACATTATTAATACTATTGCAAATTGTTTAAAACACCAGACTAAATTGGCATTGACAGACCTGACAACCATAGTGGTGTGAGGTGATACAGAGATCCTTCAACACTTGTGATACACTGCACAACCAAGCTGTACTGCACCAAACTTGCTGTTACACTGCACAACTACAATGTGCTGTACTGTACCACTAATTTGCTGCTACACACTACACAATTACAATGTGCTGTACTGTACTGTACTTTCTCCTGCTACCACACTGCTTTGCCACTGGTGCCCTGATGAGTTTGTTCCTTTATCACAGTGTTACTGCAAGAGAATATTATAAAATTAACAACTTGTGCACACAGATGTAGTCACACTCATACAACTAAATATGATGCAGATATATTGCAAACATGTTTACCATAGGGCTCTGTGCTGTATATGATCCAGGCCCATTATGTACCTATTGGGACAGTGCCATTCAATACTTATAATTACATTCTGCCATTAATGAACTACAGTGGAGTCACAAAAATTACCAAAATTCAAATCAGTTCTTAAATTTGTAGGTACCACTATTACTACCTCTTTTTTTATAATTTGTGGTCAAATATTCATAATTCATGGTCGAAAGTGCCAGTTGCTAGCAGAGTTTATTTACGTACAAAACCATAGAAGTAATGCAAATATCATTTCAATGTTCTAATGTGAACCAGAAATAAAGAAAATATAATGTAAACTATAAAATATGAAAATTACAAGGGGAGTGGATTGTATGTGAGAGGTGAAGTTGGGTGGTGGACGGAGCAAGCATCCCTTATTCCGAGCCGTCGGTGCCCTAACCTCGTTAATACACCATTATGCAATTTCAACATATGGTATCACTGTATTATTTAGGTTCATATGGAACCAGGTGAATAAAATATTATTGTAAAAAACAGTGACCTCGCTTAATCTAACACTGGTTAACGGAATTCGATTAACTAACTGCTCTATATGATCTTCAATTCGTTAACGAAAAAAATTCGTTAACGGTTCTACGAATCCCATTCTCAACATAAGCCATTTTGCACTGACCGGCAACCAGCTTTAGTATCAGTCCGCCAATACATTAATCGTTCTAGGGCTTAAATCTTACTATTTTAGTAAATATCAAGAAGTTTATACTTACTCAATAATTTTAAAAGTTTAACATTCAATTTTTTAGCTATTTTAACAATTATTGAACATAATAAAGGCAAAGGACTAGTTTAATGCTCTGCATCCAGCCCTTAACACAGCAAACAGGAGTTAGTCTGTCTCTGTTTTCACCGGAGGTAACATCCTGCTCGAGACTCTCTTCAACCAAACGCTTTTTTTCTGTGTTTCCAAGCAAATTACTGGTCATTTTGAAATATATTTACATATTGACAATATATAATGCAGTGCAGTATGATTTGAAGAAAATAATCTTGAATTACACCAAGGAGCTAAAATTTTATAGGTGAAGGGCGCCATGGGACTTCTCTTCCACCCCAATGCCTTCTTTCTTCCTTTCTCCTCCACCCCATTCTAAATCCCACCATCATCATCATCATCCAGGAGCCTTCTACATACACACCTCAAAGTAAGTGAACTTTTTCTACCATTTTTGTTGAATTTAGGAAATTTCGGTGAGCTGGAACCACTACTCAAAACCCATTGAAACAATGGTTTCGTTAATCTATCTTTCCGTTAACGAATCCACCTTCTGGAACGGATCGGTTCATAATCTGGAGGGTCACTGTACAGTGAAACTCTAAATCGGACTTTTTTTTTTATCTGGATCTCTACTTTACCAGGACTGGCAAGCTCCTCCTGGCTAATTTCGTTAATCTGATTATAAGGATCTTCCAGAACTGCTAGCTGGTCCTTCAGCTGAATTCATTTCAGCCCTCTCTGACTTCCATTTGAAGTTGTCTTGCCTTTGGAAGCCATGGTAATTAGTCCATACAGTGTCCTCCGTTAACGAGTTACCTCCCATAAGATCTTAACTTCGTTATTGAGCAACCCTTGGTTAACGAGTTTCTACGGCCAACCTCAACAAGTTTTGGCTTGCACTTGGCGGTTCACCAGCTTTAGTATTAGTGCCAATACATTAATCGTTCTAGGGCTTAAATTCCTTACTATTTTAGTAAATATCAAGAAGTTTATACTATTCAATAATTTTAAAAGTTTAATATTACCTTTTTTGTAACACAATTATTGAACATAATTGAAGGAAAGTGACTAGCTTTAATGCGAGCATCCAGCCTTTTAACACAGCAACAAGCCGTTAGTCTCTCTCTGTTTTCACTGAAGGTAAGACTTTGTTTGAGACTCCTTTCAACTAAATGCTTTTTTCTGTGTTTGCAAGCAAATTATTGATCATTTTGAAATAACTTTACATATTGACAATATATAGCACAGTGCATTGTTATTTAAATAAAATATTCTTTTATTTACAACAAGTTTAACTTAAAAAACATAATGTTGACATTGTTTGAATCCAGCATGGGCTTCTAAGAGATCAAGAAAAAGCGATTATCCAAACCAAGCAGAAAAATCATAAAATATGAACAAGGCATTAGAATAAATGCGCAGTGCAAAGAAGGCAAGCATGTCGACATCAACTGTGTCGATAATTCTTGCACAGAAAGACAAATTTAAAGAAGTGAAAGTGAGACAAATCTACAAGAGTGTAAAAAGTAGATCCCTAATTGCAGAAACTGAGAGGTTATTATCATCTGGATTAGGGAAAACAGATGAAAGGTGATTCAGTTTCTACTGAATTACTTTTGAAAGAGCCAGGAGATTTACTAACATTTAAAGACAGATCAACCTGGTTCTTCAGGCACAGAATTTGAAGATTTTGCCAGCAAAGGCTGCTCAAAATTTAAAAAGAAGCAACATTTTCAGTAAGTTGTTAGGCATGGTGAAGCTGCTAGTGCTGATAACGAAGTGCAAAGTTTTTAGCTGAATCTAAAGAACTGATGGAAGAAGAAAATTATCTTCCACAGCAAGTGTTCAATGTGAACTAAACTCGCTGTTCTGGGAAAGATGCCCAAAAGAACATTCATCACCAGAGATGGAGCCCTCACCTGGCATAAACCCAATGGAAGACTCTCCTCACTCTATTGCTTGATGAAAGTTTCAGGAATTTCCACCGAAGCTCATATGCTTGTCTACCACTCTGAAAACCCCAGGGTGTTCAAGCAACAGAAAGTAAGAACAAAGCTTTGGAGCATTGGAAGTCCAACCAGAAGGCATGTATGCAGACAGCTCTTAATGAATGGGCTGTTGATGTTTTGCCTTTCTGTCAAGAGGCAACTAACCACCAATAAACTCCTTTAAAGGCTCTTTCTCCTCATGGATAGCTCCGGTCATGACCCTGAACCCACCAGAAATTTGGAGTATCAATTTGACTTTGTGAAAGTGTGTTGTTTTTGCCTCTCAACACTACATCAATCAACTGTCAATGGACCAGAATGATCAGCAGCTTAAGAAGTTGTACATGAAGAAAATGCTAGAGGTGTCACAGGCAACTTCCAATGATCCTGAACTAACACTGAAAAGTTCTGAAGACACAATCCAACATCCTGGAGGCTGTAAAATTGATTGAGCCATCATGCAAGAAGTTCCACCAGATCCCCAGTAGTCCATAGATTTTGAGGGATTTGAGGAAGAAACAGAGTTGACCGGAAGATTGTGTCCATTGGTCTGTCATTGGGCCTTAAAGGAGGAGAGATGTGGAAGAGCTTGTGATGTCTCTCAGAGGAGGAAACTTACCCTGATGACTTGAAGCAACTGGATGAGATGTTACGGGTAGAGGCTGACAGTGGTGAGGAGGAAATTGAAAGTGATGACTACATGTCAGTTATATATAATATATATTATATATAATATATATTATATATAATATATATTATATATAATATATATTATATATTATATATATTATATATAATATATAATATATATTATATATATTATATATATATATATTATATATTATATATATATATTATATATACTGTATATATATATATATATATATATATATATATATATATATATTATATATATATATTATATATATATTATATATATATATATATATATATATATATATATATATATATATATATTATATATATATATATATATATATATATATATATATATATATATATATATATATATATCTCAATCAACTGACAGTTCCAAGTATATCTCGGGGACCAGACGGGGTGACAGTACTCCAGAGGGGGAAGCACTTCACTCTTGAAGGTCATTACGAGGGACGGACCATCTAGATATCTGAACATCCTTCTTATAAGACCCAATAATTTACTTGCCTGATTTACCTTCTTCTCGCAATGGCCTGAAAACTTCAGCTCATTGTCAGCATACACACCTAGGGCAGGTTCTATGCATTGTCGTTTCCATTTTTGTGTTTAATATCATGATATTAGTGTGTACAAAAAATTTCAACTGATTCGGACAATTCCTTCTGGTGGTCACCCTCTTCTACACCTTTGCCTCAATCTTTATTAGTTTAGCTGAGTATTAGGTTTGGTTTGGTTAGTTTAACTTTCAAATAAACCTCTTTTTAACACATTGCTATAACTAGGGGTATTATTGCATTTTCTCACCCCACATTCCTACCCCTAATCTATTATCATATTCGAATAAGACGTCTAATTGTAAGATAATTTTCTTCTATTACATTACCGGCGGAAATGTATAATAATGGAGATAGCGTATCCAAATTTTCTCTATTTTCTTCCATTAATCTTCCGCCATTATCGCCTACTTCACCTCCCACGCTGCGTGTCTCCTTCATAAATCATCACGCGCATGCGTTCCCGTACCCGTCACACGGCCAATCAAAAGCGCCTTTTGGGGGGCAACCAATTAAAATGATTTGTGGTTTAATTCGCAGAATTTTTGACCCAATCAAATTCGATTTTTATTTTGGGTCTCATATTTCCAAATTCAAATTCATTTCCAACCATGGAAGTCTGCGATGGGTGTCACTTCAATTATATGGAGCTGATTGCGAGTTTTTGGAAAAAACAAAGAAGCTATAACATTTTTTCGATCTCATGGAGTTCTCCCGACCTCAGTAAATTGTCCTAAGTGCAAGAACGAATGTAAATATTGTCAAGACCAACATATGTGGCATTGTGGTAACCCGTCCCTTATCCCAAAGACAAAGAAGAGACGGCTAATAAGGTAAGAAATAAGGAATTCCATCATATGGTGAGAGTCAGTTTAGGTTAGGTTAGGTTTGGTTTATGTCTTTCTAGTGTTTTTTTGTGTATTTTGTATTAGCTTAGCCATTATTTTTTTTTCGGAAAACGCCCCACGAAAAAAAAATGATAAAAAACCCGGCCAATTTCCGACAGAAATGAAGATCAAAATCGGTCTAAATACACATAAATACACTATAAAAATATATTTTTGACTTTCTAACAGAGTTGGGTGTGCTTATGCAAATTTACCTAACTAGGACAGTATCCACTATAAAACACAGTGAAATTACAGCATTTTAAAATTCATCTTCAATGAAAAATCAGCAGCTGTGTAGTTGTCAACAAATACCCTCCATTGCATTAAGCATCAAATATTAAGCAAAATGAGTCATGTCCCCTTTTGTAGCCCAACTAAAGCAGATTTTCTTGACATGTAAGTAAATATCTACATGTGCAGCAGTAAAATCAGAATACTCAAAGAAAACGAAATAGGGACACTCTCAAATACTGTGGTCAAGTATATGATGAAGGGCTTTGTCCGGTGTGACCTTACCAGACATGTCACAAACTCTCTACACCCAGTTTCCTCCAGTACTAACATTGGACCCACGGGAAGGATAGCCTTTTACAGCTGATATAACTACTTATACAATATCTTTCCATCACTACTTACCTCCCCGGCGTTACCAACTTGTTTTTATCACATTAATGGTTATGCCGTTCTACGAAGACAACTTATTAAAACAATACATGTGATAATATAAGCACCACCACAACAATATCAATCACTGCAGAAAAAATAGTTCTTGAATAAATAGCAAAATTATAAAGGCTTATATACGACCTTTCACAAGATATACATCAAATTATAATACCTGGTCATGGAAGAAATCACGCAGAATACTAATGCAAGTTTGACATCACACAGGTCACCATACATCAATTATAAACTGAAACATCGCTTTTTCATTTAAATAAAATATTTAGTTACTGTCAGGCCTATTATCATTACACATGTAGAACCTTGTAAGAATGCAGATTATTTTCTTGAACATAAAATGGAGGAAATCATGGAAATGTGTTTAACATAACGAAATGCAAGAACCTACACGTAGGATATAACAACCCTAATCACAATTATTCTGTTAATAACACTTTCCTGGTTACTGTCGATAAGGAGAAACATCTTGGCGTCGTGATAGATCTTTCACGAGAAAAGCAAACCGAGATTTAGGAATTACAGTTTAAACTTACTCAACTTTAAGGAGTACCTTCGAATACAAAGAAGGGGTAATGCTCCTTCAACTTATATACTGTACATCTCACGTACTGTACTATACACTACGTCTCAGTCTGGATTACTTTTTCTTTTTCTTTCTTTTGTCCTCTTTAAGGTGTTATGCTTAGTTGAGTAAGTGCTCTGGATTGTAGTGTTAGAAGTTCTCTTACATTTCTTATGTTATGTTTTGTTATTTACTTTTATCCTCTTCACCACTGATCGGCTCGTTAGCCGCTTGGGCGATCGGTCACGCACTGTTGGTAAGTACTGGGCATGCACCGGCTCCTGAATGTACCTGAACCTACTTCAGTGTTGGTCAAGTCTGATCTTGAAAGAGCTCTCACTCGGTGCCGTCACAACACTTTCTGGTAGATTGTTCCAAGAGTTCACAACTCTCACTCCGAAAAAGTTTGCCCTCACAGTTTTCTGGACTTGCGGCTTCTTCAATCTTGGGCTGTGACCCCTTGTGGGGCGAGCGTCCGCCAGCTCCAAGTAAGGACACTAGACTGAGTGGTGCCCCTTGAGATGCTTATACACCTCAATTAGGTCGCTCCTTGCCCCAGGGGCGCAACTAGAAATTGAGTAGGGGTGGGGGGTTCAAAATTACTGAGCATAATGCAATTATCATAGGATTATATAAATTTTCGAGCAAATGTATTATAGCTAACTATAACAGTAATAATACACTGTGGGGAACAGGTTGTTTGGGTTCACACTCAGGATGGGATGGAGAAAGGAAACTCACAATGTGCTCTCTGTATACATGTTGTATTGGATGTACAGTGCAGCTTGGTGCTGGGAAGTGGCAGCGTGGTTACAAGCGTGATGTAGAGAGAGCTGGTTGGTGAGGGTGCTCAGAGGAGGACCAGCTTGTGGGTCGCCATGCTCGCCGGCGGGAGCGAGGGCCGCCAGGCAGCGGCGGAGGAGGTGTAGCTTGCTGCAGCTGTAGCTAGAAGAAGAGAGAGCTGGTTGGTGAGGATGCTCAGAGGAGGACAGCTTGTGGGTCGCCATGCTCTCCGGCGGGAGGTGGACCGCCAGGCAGGCGGAGGAGGAGGAGGTGTTGCTGGCTGGTTGGTGTAGGTAGAAAAGAGAGAGGTAACATGAACATGAAATGCTAGTGACAGGGGGGAAGGAGGTTCAAGGGAAGAATAAAGGGAGGATTGAAGTGAATTTTAGGAGGAGAGAATAGGTGCAGTGGCTAAACACCGCTTGCGTGAGGGAGTATAAGTTGGAGGCAGCAGCAACTCGCCTGGACGCGGCCAGGAGGCGGCAGGACAGAGTCAGGCTAGCGTCAGGTCAAGCGTCAGGTGCGTGTTGGGTTGGGCCATGGATTCTCAGTGCTTGGTCGGCTTGATTGTGTGTGTTGTTTTCTTATGTGGAGGAAATGTCTTGGTCTTCTTCTTAGCTTGATGTAGATTTTCTTTTAACTTTCCTCCTCTTCTTGCTCTCTTGAAGTGTCCATTCATTCGTGTTTGGGTCTTGTTGCTAGTCCATAGGTGTGGAAGAAGTCGGAGACGGTGAGGTTGACCACGTGGGCTTCAGCTCCACGGGCCTCGTGGTGTTCTTGATTCTGTGTGGCGGGTGTCTTTTGAGTTTTCTTTTCTTGGTTTTTCTTTTCTGCTGGTTTTTTCTTGTCTTGGGAGCGTACAACAAGGATGGCCTCTTTGTAGCTCAGTTTCTTGTCGAGTCGAGCCTTGGCTATCCTGCATTCCTCCTTCCATTTCGGGCAGGTCCGATCGGCGGAGGAATGTGGGCCGCCACAGGCAGCGCATTTTTTTTACTGTGTTGGGGCAGACCGTGTACATAAGAATGGAGGAAACTGCAGCGGGCCTATTGGCCCTGGGCTGCCGCACAGGGAGCAGGTGTCCTGCGCCTCATACTTGTTTACAGTGTGACCGTAGTGCTGGCATTTGTAACAGCGTTTCGGTCTGCAGTAGGGCTTGACTGGCACAGTTACCCACGCCAGTTGAGCTTCCTTGGGTAAGGTTGTATGGTGTCCGATGAGGGCAGTGGTGTCGGACAGCTTCTTGACAACTTGGAGTTGCCCCTTGAGAAGCTCACTCAGCTCTGCTTGGTCCACGTGGGCAATTTCGGCGTGGGAGATTACTCCCAGCTTCAGGTTGTCCCACTTGTAGGCAATCATTTTAAATGGAATGCCGTTGATGTCTGGGATCTCCGCGAGCTATACGGGCATACCCTTCTCGGCGAAGGTGATCTTGATGTCACCATGGAGCTTCAGTCGTTCCACCTTGGTGACCCCCACGATCTCATTAGTTTCAAAGAACTTCTTGAGAACTAGGAGGTTTAATTTCTTGGGACAGGTCGGCGTATCCGGACGTATTCGCGCCACGTTATCAAACTCGTAACCGTTTATGGTGAGAGAGGGTTAGAGAGTGAGAGAGGTCACCACGAGGTCAGGTCTTAAATAGCGGGGGTAGGCGTGGCTTAATAGTTGACCCCCGCTCCGTGGGCGGCGCTGGTTGAGCTAGACCACGAGGCATACACTGGGGAATTCGTGGGGTCGGCTACTCAGCGACAAACAGCGTTTGCAGGGGAGAAATCCACTACATTGCCAGCACGAGACTGATATGACAACTTACCTTCCGAGAAAAAACGATTGATAGTTGTTTGCTGACTGGTTGACATAGCGTTGTTGAAGGCTGTGGCATCCAAAGTAGATGTAACTACACCAAAAACTAAATGTGAAGTGAGGACGAGAGAAGTGGGAACATGTTCCCTGACCCAGCATGCTCGATTTCCAACGCCGTATTATCGTACGATACAGTTATTCGAAGCACACTTGCGAAATCATCAAATACTGTAGTGAAAATGGATGGAAAAATAATTTATAAATATGTAAAATCTATAGAAAATGTACAATGTAGATGAGAAAATGAAAAAAAAAATAAATTTCAATATTTCACACTGGCAGTGCTGTATATTAAGTGCACTCAGGCGCATGGCAGAGGTGGTGGAAGTTACTGTGGCGTGGGGTGAGGTCAGGTAAGCTGACCCAATCTTCGTGTTACTAAGGTGTCGCCAGGTCAGGTATGGGTTGGTCGCACCATGCAATACCTGGAGGGGGGGGGGGGTCCGGGCAACCAGGAAACTCCCCTGGGTGCGCCACTGCCTTGCCCGTCTATAGTATAAGCTTGGCAAGTTCAGGCGTTCCCATCTCTCAGGGTAGTTGAGGTGCCAAAGTGCAGGCACCAGTCTAGTCCTTTGAACATTTTCAACCAACTGACAGTCCCTAGCATATCTCGGGGGCCAGATGGGGAAGCACTTCACTCTTGAACGACCTTCTTATGAGACCCAATAATTTATTTGCCCGATTTACCTTCTTCTCGCAATGGCCCGAGAACTTCAGCTCATTGTCAACATACAGACCTAGGTCCACCATACATTGTCTCAAATGGTGCAGCTTCTTCATCCCGTTGGGACATATGATACGCCTCCTTACCGTTGGTACGGCCCAGGTGCATCCTCTTACACTTCGTGACATTCAATCTCAACAACCATTCCTTCGACCAATCTTGGAGCTCACAGAGATCCTTCTGCAGTTCTTCACAGTCCGCATTGTTCTTGATTTCCGGAATTAACTTGGCGTCATCGGCAAACATTTGTATGGAGGAGTGTATAACGTCAGGCATGTCATTTATGAAACAAACAAACAACAGCGGGCCCAATACACTGCCCTGTAGTACCCTGCTTGTAACAGATACAGATGATGATTTCGTGCCATTAATCACCACACTCTGCTTGAGGTCATGTACAAAGTCTTCTATCCACGCTAGGACATTTCCCCGAATTCCGTACCCTTCCAGTTTGATTTTCAGCCTTTCGTGGGGTACACTGTCGAAAGCAATTGTGTTAAGCAGGAGCGCCCCGACATAAAACCGTGTTGGCAATCCTTTACAAAGTTGTTTCATAGTAGATGTTCATCGCGGCATCTCTGATAATACTCTCAAGGTCATTCAGATATCTCGACGGCCCGTCCCTCGTAACGATCTTCAAGAGTGAAGTGCTTCCCTATCTGGAGTACTGTCACCCTGTCTGGTCCCCGAGACATGCTATGGACTGTCAAATGGTTGAAAATGTTCAAAGGACTAGACTGGTGCCTGCACTTCTGCACCTAAGCTACCCCGAGAGATTGGAGCGCCTGAACTTGCCTAGTTTATACTACAGACGGGCAAGGGGTGACCTAATTGAGGTGTATAAGCATCTCAAGGGGCACTACTCAGTCGAGTGTCCTTACTTGGAGCTGGCGGACGCTCGCCCCACAAGGGGTCACAGCTCAAGATTGAAGACGTCACAAGTCCAGAAAACTGTGAGGGCAAACTTTTTCGGAGTGAGAGTTGTGAACTCTTGGAACAATCTGCCAGAAAGTGTTGTGACGGCACCGAGTGTGAGCTCTTTCAAGACCAGACTTGACCAACACTGGAGAAGGTTCAGGTATATTCTGGAGTCGGTGCATGCCCAGTACTTGCCATCAGTGCATAACAGAGACGTGACTGATCGCCCAGGAGGCTAACGAGCCGATCAGTGGTGCAGAGGATAAAAGTAAGTAAGTTTACATATTATGCTGGTGAGGCTCACCGGTCTATAGTTGTTCGTGGAGTGACGATCGCCCTTCTTGAAGATAGGACTCACATAAGCCACTTTCCATTCACTGGGGACCTTTTGTTCATCCAGGCATTTACAAAACAGGATCTTCAGGGGCTCGGCAAGCTCGTTGCACAACTCTCTTAGCACTCTAGAATGCACCATGACAGGGCCGGGACTCTTTGGACCTTTAGCCTGGACAGTTTATTTCTAATACCCTCTTCTGTGAGCACAATGTGGGTCAGAGCTGTGTCGAACCTTCTGTCCTCAAATGCAGGAAGGTTAATCGGATCCTCTCTTGTGAACACCAAGGAAAAAAGCTGTTCAATGCCTCAGCTTTATCCTGGTTATAATCTGCGTAACTACCATCTTCAAGCCTTAGGTCTCATCCTCCAACACGCGTTTTTAATTTCGACTTTGCATAGCGGTAAAACGCCTTTGGGTTTGACTTGACCTCGCTTGCAACCCGCCTCTGGAACTCCTTTTCAGCCCTTCTACACTCTGCCTTTGCTTGGTTTCTGGCTCTTGCATACATCCTCCTGTCCTGCTCATCGTTTGACCCAACCCACGTCTTGAATTTCTGGGTT